GTCAAAAACAAATTTAAAAAACCCTCAGAGCAACCCTGCCAGGATTCGAACCTGGAATCCCCTGATCCGTAGTCAGATGCCTTATCCGTTGGGCCACGGGGCCTCAGATGTTTGAGGATCAAACTTAATTATACCAATACTTAAAGTACAAATAAACATGTCGAAAAGAAACAAGAAAGTACCTACAGAACGACCCCGCCAGGATTCGAACCTGGAATCCCCTGATTCGTAGTCAGATGCCTTATCCGTTGGGCCACGGGGCCTCAGTCGTTGGACATGCAAATTCAATTATAGCAATACTTAAAGTACAAATAAGTATGTCAAAAAGAAATTTAAAAAAACCTGCAAAGCAACCCTGGCAGGATTCGAACCTGTAATCCCCCGAACCGTAGTCACATGCCTTGTCTGTTGGGCCACGGGGTCTCAGATGTTCGAGGTTCAAACATAATTATAGCAATACTTCAAGTACAAATAAATACGTCAAAACAAAATTGAAAAACCTGCAGAGCAACCCCGGCAGGATTCGAACCTGGAATCCCCTGAACCGTAGTCAAATGCCTTATCCGTTGGGCCAGGGGTCCTCAGATGTTTGAGGATCAAACATAATTATACCAATACTTAAAATACAAATAAACACGTCGAAAAGAAACAAGAAAGTACCTACAGAACGACCCCGCCAGGATTCGAACCTGGAATCCCCTGATTCGTAGTCAGATGCCTTATCCGTTGGGCCACGGGGCCTCAGACGTTGGACATACAAATTCAATTATAGCAATACTTAAAGTACAAATAAATATGTCAAAAAGAAATTTAAAAAACCTGCAAAGCAACCCTGGCAGGATTCGAACCTGTAATCCCCCGAACCGTAGTCACATGCCTTGTCTGTTGGGCCACGGGGTCTCAGATGTTCGAGGTTCAAACATAATTATAGCAATACTTCAAGTACAAATAAATACGTCAAAAAGAAATTTAAAAAACCTGCAGAGCGACCCCACCAGGATTCGCACCTTGAACCCCCGATCCGTAGTCAGATGCCTTATCGGTTTGGCCTAACGAATAAGGCATCTGGCTATCAGGGGATCCCAAGTTCGAATCCTGATGGGGTCGATTTGCAGGTACTATTTATTTCTAATCGACATATTTATTTGTGTTTTAAGTATTTGAATAATTATGTTTGAACCTCAAACACCCGAGTCCCATGGCCTAACGGATAAGGCATCTGACTACGGATCTGGAGATGCCAGGTTCTAATCCTTACGGGGTTGTTCTGCAGGGTTTTAACAATTTTTTGACATATTTATTTGTGTTTTAAATATTGGTATAATTATGTTTAAACATTAAACATCTGAGACCCAGGGACACGGGGCCTCAGATGTTTGGGGTACAAATTCAATTATTCCAATACTGAAAACACAAGTAAATACGTCGAAAAGAAATAAATAAACAAACACTTGCAAAACTACCCCGCCAGGGTTCGAACCTGGAATCCCCTGATCCGTAGTCAGATGCCTTGTCTGTTGGGCCACGGGGCCTCAGACGTTTGAGGATCAAACATAATTATATCAGTACTTAAAGTACAAATAAATACGTCAAAACATTTTTAAAATCCTGCAGAGCGACCCCGCAAAGATTCGCACCTTGAACCCCCATCCGTAGTCAGATGCCTCATCGGTTTGGCCCAACGAATAAGGTATCTGACTACAGATCAAGGGATTCCAGGTTCGAATCTTGGCGGGGTCGTTCACCAGCTACTTTTTATTTCTTATCGACATTTGTACTTTTGGCATTGGTATAATTATGTTTGAACATCAAACATCTGAGACCCAAGGGCCACGGGGCCTCAGATGTTTGAGGATCAAACACAATTATATCAGTACTTAAAGTACGAATAAATACGTCAAAAAGAAATAAAAACACTTGCAAAACGACCCCGCCAGGATTTGAACCTTGAGTCCCCTTGATCCGTAGTCAGATGCCTTATCCGTTTGGCCCAACGGTTGAGGCATCTGACTTGGCTACGGATCTGGGAATTCCATGTCCGAATCCTGGCTAGGTCGGTTAATTTCCTTTGGGACTTTTGGTTTTGAAAATTTCCACTACTCTGAAGCTTGACCGCACATTTTATTCTGTGCTGTCAAATGTGACAGTCCCTTCCTGAATGTGCTGATAACAGTCAAGTTGTATCAACACAGCCGTGACCTTGCTTATTAACTTTTCACACTCAATTGATTAAGCATCTCTGACCGAGGCCGCAAAATTAATTTTCTTTAACATTTAACCTACCCTCCGAAGACGGTGCCAAGCCAGGTTGCGCCAAACGATGACAGGTCATTTCAGCGGGGACAAGTGTAAATCACCAGAGGCCATGCGGCCACGCATTGCCATCTGTAATCGCGGGGTGAGAACGCACGTGTGGGTCGGTCATGGTCACGGAAATGTACCGCTTGCCGTGCACCATCGTTTAAATGTCCTCTGGGAAAGCTTTATTTATTTATTTATTAGGTTTAGAGTTTTGAGAAATGAATTGCCCTTCTGCCATCGTTCCCGAACTACGCTCACCCATAAAATTATTTGAAATCCTAAGCCAATATACGACTGTCTCATCGATAAATCTGTGTGTTTCTTTACTACAATTACTGGCACACAGTGAAACGCGGTGGTGCACTGCCAGAAAAAAGAATGGTGGCAGACCAAATGCTTTCTGTTTCCACTTTGGATACGAGGTTTAAGTTTTTTATTAACTCCGTCAATTTTGAATTTTGGCGGGTGTTCACAAAAGGTGTTAGTTACATACTTATTTTAAGTTGGATTTCACTTTCACAATGTGACAAATTCTCACCATTCATCATTTCTGCGTAATGTTTTAAGATTGATTGCTCAACTGTCTGCCGCTGTGTCGAAATAATAACCCTTTCAGGTTGTCCTGTTACGTTACAGATTGAATTGTTGAAGGCACCGCACTATCGCACTTACCACATCGACGATTTGGGAGATGGCCAGACTAAAGTTGATGTACAGCGTGTCCAGAGCTCCTTTGACCGGTAAGGCTAATTTGCTGTAATCATTGAACAGAAATTCCTGCAGTCGCTCCTCGCCCTCCGATGCTCGAACTCCTGCGTGAACATATAAAAACAAAGAAACTAAAAAAAAAGAGGAAAATATCAAAAGATATGTGAGGCGGGTGACTGCGCTTCGCGCAGGAACGATACATTATTATGACGCTGCTCAGAGTCAGAGTGACCCAAAAATGTGTCATTTGTTTTCACCTTAGAAATGGACTAAGCCCCATATGATCCAGATTCCTAGATTTTTTTTAGAGTAAATATTGTGTTTATTTAGACAAGTTCTTCCACATTGAGCAGTTCTCAATTCAAACCTTTCGTGGTAAAACTTAAATATGACACCCGGTGCTCCCAACGAAGTAAAATAAAACTCCGTCCCAATCATTAAAGTTGGATGTATGTCATGCCCATACCGCCTTAAGTAGAAACACCCCCTCATCGGTTGAATAGAATTGTGGGCAGTGTTCGTTACGTAAGTAGCGACGCTACCACAACGCATGGATTTCATAGTCGCTTGGAAACCAGCGAAGGGCAGTTCCCAGCAAGGGATGCCCCGTTGCTTAGAGTCGTTTATAAAGTAGCGCCAACGTCATGCGGTATAACGAAAACGGTTGTTCATTATGTGTTTATACTATTGAGACATTCATATTGCGACTCTCTCCTTCATTAAACAGCTCTGCCGTAGCTGAAAATGGCGCCCTCTCTTGGTCCCGCTCGGGCCTCTTAATATCTCGAGCTCCTACGTTCCCTAGATGGCAAAAGTGTTGGCTCTCCTTTAAGTTTCAATCAGACAGCGTTCCATTTCCGCATTGACCTCTCTGACACGGAGCTTCTCTGTTTCGACAAATCGTCAATTTTGGAGGCAACCTTGCCGGGGTCCGGTTACAATTTCCTCCCGTCAAGGTTCGTTACTCCTCTCGCACTTAGGACGCCACTTGTTTGTTTTGTGAAATCTCCCCTTCCCCTTCCCGATTTCAGCCTTTAAATATATCGTCTTTCGTAATTACGAGCCGCATAGTTCGGCAATAGTTCGGGAGTCAAGCTTTTCATATGTTAAAATTCTTAAAATTTTCATACGTTAAATTTCTTCGCCTTGGTCTTGCCAGGTAATTTTTTCGCGAAGTTGCTCATTCCTTGAAAGACGCGATGGTTTGAGTTTTGCACTTCTATAATCAATTTCACGATGGTTTTGAGTTCGTGCTGTTTTGATCATATTCCACTGTCCATTTTTCTTCGTGCTTATCATGGTAATGGCGTTGAGTCCACTCTTTTTTTTTTTAACTGTGAGACATTTTTCGTCATAAAACACAACTAATTTTACTCAAATTTCCTGTACATGTACGTATAAGCGCACATCGTTGGAGAGCCTTTTAGTGTGAGGAAGGAAATCGTTTGCAGTTCAGTTGCATACACAGCCGCCTACACAAAACGGTAGAAAAATAGACTCAACATAAAAGGTATGATTTGTACAAATACACGTACAAGGCAGTGGAAGATTCATGCATCGCGTTATGGGCATTTACGTCGACAACGAGGAGGATGGGTATTTTCATAGGCTTGTTGCTCTGACTGGTAAGGACTTGGTTTATGTAGTTTTTATATCCAGACTTAAGCCTGTCCGTTAGCGGTATTATGAGAGTACTTGCCCGTGCAGCCAAAATTCGAAATTTTGAGGATACTGAGCAATTACGGTTGAGCCGTGGATCCTGACACAAGATAGGGCCTAATCCAGCGGTCCAAATAAAGTCTCATCTACAAAAATTATTCCTCTCTGTAAAAAAAGTTGTTGGAAGAATGTTGGGCAGCGTTCTCCAAACGACAGTTAATAAAAACTCAATTCCGGTAAAATACCCTTTACACACCTTTGGAGAAAAATATCCAAAAGTACAGGCGATGGAGAATTTCACAAACAGTGAGTTTGAGCAGTGCACATAGCTTGCAACTGATTGAAATGCCTACATAAAAGACGTCTAGGCCTCCTTCCATTTTTTTTTGGGGGGGGGAAGACAGTATTTTACACAGAGCATCCTCTCAAGACGATTTTTCTAAATTGGAACGTTGAGTGGGAACTATTTTTCCTCGGAGCAGAGCGACCTCGGAGAGATATAGGTCGCGAGTTCTGGGCGAACCCTCTCTTTTCCTCGTCAGTTCTGTCATTTCATGTTTCAGCCATTCGATCCATTAGAAATCGGAGACGGTAATGTTTCTGTGACAAGCGGATTGTTCCAGTCATCGCCAACTCATTTCGTCTTGTTTCACGTGGCTCATCATAACGCTGAGCTACCTTTCATCTTGCATCGCTGACAGGAGCCTGACAGGTTCAAACCAATAGAAGAAATGAGGATAATTATGAAATAATGGTTTTTCGGTGAATGGGGTATTTGCAGGAGAATGATCTTTATTTGAAAGGGTGGAATCGAAAAAAAGATTGAGGAATAACTAAATAGTAATAACTTATAAAGCGCAAGTATCTAGTAAGGGAAAACTATCACTGCGCTATCAGCGAAATCTACTGATGAGCATGAACAAACAGGTAAGCTTTGAGATGAGATTTAAAGGATGTAATGTCAGGTTAGGTCCTTGTATTAATTTGCAAAGCATTCCACAGGCAAGGGGCAGCGATAGAAAAACTCCTGTTACCAAATTGCCCCAGTCTTCCGATGGTCCACTAGATCACAACCGACGCACAGGCTTAGAGACTTTTTTCAACCACGTGACCAAATGTAAACAATACCACCACGTGTGGACCGCATTAGCTACGGTGATCGCATATATTCCGACAAACAGCTTCAACCACGTACAAGCCCACGAGCGAACACTGCATGCTTGACTAGTTCATCTTGAATAGGTAGATTACATCACAACATTATGCACTCATTACCATCACAACACATCTTAGGTCCAGCACAATCGTGACGTCACAGGAAAAAGGTCTATATGGGAAGATGACTTTCCGAATGTATTGAGGTGCAGTGCCAATTAATAATTGATCTTAAAGTAATAAGAATGATCTTATATATTTTGCGTTTATACTGAACAGGGAGCCAATGAAGTTCTTTAAAAACTTGGGTGATGTGATCGAACTTTTTCAAACGTGTCAATATAAGGTTTTGTATTCGCTGAAGGTGATCGATGGAGGAAGCCCAAATTCCTAACAAAAGGGAATTACAGTAATCCAGCCTTGATGTCACATATGAATGAGCTGTTCAGCAGTTTTCTGAGAAAGCTTTGAGCGAATGTGATAAATGTTTTTCAGGTGAAACATGGCAGTACGGGTTGTGTTTCTCACATTATCCTTGAAGTACAAATTTTGTCAAAGATAAATGCATCGCGGGAAATGTAGGTCAATCTCGCCCGCATACTGGGGTCTTTCATGCCGCAAGGAATAAACGGGTTAACAAACGATGAAACTAACCAGCTAACATTTAGGCCTACATAATTGTGTCACCACTAGAGCGTCTAACGAGCAACCATCAGCTTCAAAGGACAACTAGGATATCAAGCAATAATGCTTAAACAACCCACAAAGCGAAATAACGGTGAATTACTTGTACACAAGGTATGTCTTACATTTTGAACATCCGTATATTTTTATTCTATAAAATATGAATAAATCCTAAAAAGATAATGTATTGTTGCATGGATAAAAAGAACAGGTATTTTTACACGTATAAATTTGTCGCATCGAAGCGTGCTTTTTTCCAGAAATATAGACGTACGGGAGGTCTGAAAAGCTATATCGACTCCACGTTTCATCTGAAATTAATTCGTAGCTTTAGCTCCACCTCGTAGGCAATACTGGAGCAAGTATTAGTTTACATCACACACACGGAATACACCTAGGTGTATATGCTTTCACAATCGATCAGGTTGTTTTTTCTTGCGGTATTTTCCCCCCCTCGGAAAAAAAAGGTCGACGTGGCAGGCCAAGTCGGTCGCATGCATAGGAGCTCACATCATATCAGTTAGTCCAACGGTACTCTGCCAACTGCTCGAGCCTCGAGGCTTGTTATGTACATACGACCCGAAATCAGACATGACGTTCCAAAATTCATCCCCGACATTAATTTCATTATATAATAAATGGAAGCGATGGTCAGGTGGGGCCTTTACGCGGAGATCAATCAATATTTGGCCGGGCACAGCTGCCAAGAAAAAAATTCCTCAAGAAAAGGTTCATTATTATTTGGAGATTGTTACCAACAAAATCTTATTAAATGGATGTACCGGTATCTCTCATATTTGGTTTGTAAATCATTTGCTGTTATCTGGCTTAATCTGATTTCTTTCAGTGGTGTGACCTTTGACATTTAAATGAGATTTATAGGAAACTTGCTAATGCATTATGCCCAAAAATGTAATAGATCTGTATGTCCTAGTAGTGGTCCGAGCAATCTGATTTGACATAATTGGTACTCCCGGACTGACGTTATGTTAATGCACGAGCCCCCACAAGTGAAACACGACAGGAAATTACCAAGGTGGTTTAATTGTAATCATTCTTAAAAGTCTTCGAATGCTATTAAAGGGACCAGTCTTTTTATCAGCGTAATATTGCATTCACTTTGATGTATTTGTCCATCAATAAATCTGGGACCTAGACCATGAGCAAACTGGCATGATGGCCATGTCACTTCGGACACCCGGTGCCCACCAGTTTCGTGCCTTCGATATACCAGCTGTTGCAGCACGTTCAATATTTGTTGAGCCTGCCGTGTCCCTATTTATGAGTTTTGCTTCCGCCCCCCCCCATTAATAACGGGCCGCCGAATGCTCAATATGTGTCACGATGTATGAAATGCGACATTAAAAGATGCATTCCCTCAGCAGGTGTTCCCGTCCGATAAATCCTTGGGCGACTGTTTTAGGCCGATATCGCATGCCGGTCACGTTGGGAGCATTCGCGAGTCGCCGTCATGGTGATGTGTGAATGGCGATCATGGACAAGCGTTTATATGGTTCGAATTTTCAGACAATGTCTGCTGCTGGGTTTGACTGGAATGAAGTCTGGATTGCAGAATAAAAAGTCTGCCAGAGAGCTTGAATTGAGG